AAACGCTTCACAGAATATACTCTAACGTGAATTAACTGTGTATTTTGTGGGTGAGACATGGCAGCCAATTGCACACAGCAATATACCACAGCGTTGGATTAAGTGACCAGATTTTCTTCTTGAAGGGATTATTACCCCTGGAAAGCGATCCATCAATCGACTAATAACCGGTTCCTACTTGCGGCTAGGTAACAGAGGCTTGGGGAGTAAGGAAACTTGCCTAAAGTTTTACCCCACCCAGGAATCGAACCCAGGTTCTCTTCCTTGCAAGGCGAGTGCTTTAATCATTATGCTACGGGACTCCAATACTTGAGTCTCACTTGAGACTTGCTAATGTGTTACTGATATCCTCCGGCCCTGGGGCTCACTGTTTAACCTTTATAAGGCCCCTCTGAGTTGTCTTCTCTCTAGTCCATAAGTGAACCTCTCAGTACTCATCAATCGAAGTTGAAATCCATCACATTAAATGCAGCACTGATATCCTGGACTGACCTGGGGCAGGTTAATGAAGCTCCTTTTAAAGATTCACATTCTCACGTTCTTACCAGTGGAAAGCTGGAGTGAGTGAAAGATTGGTATAGAATCTGAGTACAGTGTGGTAGTGCCAGTCAAGTGCCTAATTACATGGAAACTTCCGTGTCTAGAATGGAATGTGCACTCTTTCCCTGGAGCGAGACACCCTGCTTACTTAATTCCAGAGAGTATTAAGTGCAGGTTGGCAAGACCAAGGCTTGGGGATCACAGAATGTGCTTTTGGGTACTGCTGCAGTTTCACCAGCTAAAACTATGTAGCTTGTCACCAAAAGCACGATCTGGAAAGCTTGTCCAACTAGAAATTTACACTGAAGGGTTTCACTGAATAGGGGCATGGGGAAAAAAACTTTGCGTGAAAGGATTTGTGAGGAACAGGCCTCAGAATATATGGCTCTATGCTGGGTGAAATTCTGCTTTCTCCTCAATTCCTCTATGCTAACTATAGTAAATTCTGACAACATCAGTGCCTATGTAAAATAAATCAGTCCTACAGGATTGAGTATCGAGACATAAATCTGAGCCAAGCTGCTTATGAGCTGTTGGACACTTCAGACTTTGGGTCACAAAGTCTGATTCTCCATTTTTGTAAATGAATATTAAATTGCGATTTTGACAAGATAAATAGAAATAGGTTATTTTCCACTAATAGGGCAGTCTAGGGCCATAGTTATAATAGTCACAACATAAGCGAACGGAAAGCTGAGTTGAAATTTGTTCACTCAAAGAGCTGAAGGGGTGTGGGGGTTGGGCAGGGCAGTGGGATTGAAAGAACACTTTGTTCTGAGAGCCAGTGTAGACTTGATGGGCAAAATGGCTTCCTTGCATGCTGTAAATTTCTATAATTCTCTGAACGCAGTGCATATACCATGGGTTCCTTACTGTAACATGCTCTCATATACCTCACACTCCTAACTGTAACATGCTCTCATATACCCCATGTTTCTCACTGTAACATGTTCCCATATACTCTGCATTCCTCACTGTAACATACTCTCATTTTTCAGCGCTCCTCGTAATATGTCCTTTTATGTACAACAACAACAACAAAATTTCATTTTGTAATTCACATCGGAAGGACATCCCAATACACCAATGCTCTCATATGCCCTCATATACCCCAGTATTCTACGATTTCAAAGGACTCAAAATAGTTTGCTCAGAAAACAATTTAAAATGGATATTATTTAACTTTATTTTAATCAAAATTACACAATGCACTTATTGTGTAGAGCACAACAACTTGCATTTATAAAGCGCTCTTTACATAGAATAACATCTTAGAGCAATTAAGATTGAAGTTAGAATGTGTGAGAGGCAAGTGGATTCCAATAAAATAATAATAATATTCCTTGCATTTGATATAGTGCCTTATCACGTCTTTGAGACTTCTCAAAGCCCTTCACAGAATATACTGTACAGTGGAATGATTGTATATCTTGTCGGTAGAATGCAGCAACTATTTGCGCACAGCAGTGTCCCATAAATAATTGTGGATAGAGTGAATAAAAGTAATCAGTCAATCAACTAACAGCTGGGTTCCTACTTACTGCTAGGTAAACAGAGGCGTGTGGAGTAAGAAAACTTGCCCAAAGTTTTGCTCTGCTGGGAATCGAACCCAGGTCATATCGTTTGCGAGGCAAGTGCTCTGCAGTTTCAAGCAGGTAAAACCGTTTGAACATCACTTCACTTTCGGAGTGTACGGCAACTCCAAATCACAGTCTCTCAGTGTGGAAACTCACTCCAACGTAACAAAATTCTCAGTATAATCACTCAGTCGGCCAAACATCGCTAATAGTCTAGGTTCATGAGGTACCTGAATGGTATCATTCATTTCTCTATGAAAAGCTTAGGTTACAAACAACTGATTGTTTGCTAATCCTTGTCACAGCCACAAACACACATACACACACACAGAATATTGCTCAGTGAACCTACTTAATCCTATCCGGGTGAGAAGCCAAAAGCTCAAAACACAGTTAATTTTTGACATAAGGCACATTACTCAACAGAAGCACCAATTGCTGCATTCACTGTGCCATTTACCTGTTCTCCATACCAGCTATCATTATATCACTTATTTTCCACAGGAAGGAGTCCCCGTTTATGTAACCCGTAGTCCCGACTAAAGAATCCCGTTAAAAAATACCATAAATTAGATCCTAAGATATTGGAAGTACAGCCTCAAGGCAAGAAAAAACATTCCACATGTTACTCAAATACTCTTTTGATGCATTTACATTACTCTACTTAACATCTTCAACTTGTGACTGAGGACTTCCAATGGATGATCAATAATCAATTCCAAATACTGTTCTTTTATTATTTCATGTTTGCTTTTCCAATGTATATTACCATTCATTTATTTGCATTGGAAGCCATCTGCCATTGGGCTTTTCATCAATGACTTCCCCAATGGATAAAGAAATCACCCACTGCAGCACTAACAACAACAAAAAAAACAACGAATTGACATTTTATATGGCACCTTCACGTAGGGAGAACATCCCAAGCTATGCCCAACTAAGCTATATCCAACAGATAATTGCAGGTGTACATAATATTAATAGTCCTTGCATTTGTCCTTCAGATGAGACATTAAACCAAGATCCCATCTGCCTGTTCAGGTGGACGTTACAAATCCCGGCAAGACTTGAAAAGAGAAGGGAGTTTCTCCTGGTATCCTGGCCAAAAATTGGTCATTCACCCCATGGCTGTTTGTGGGACATTGGTGGTATAATCAGCTGCTGCATTTCGCTCACAAAATACACAATCAATCCACTTTACAATATATCCTGTGAAGGCTTTAAAACATCTCAACAAGGTGATAAGATGCTATATCAAATATTATTATTAAGGATTCTTATTATTATTTGATGTAGTGCCTTTCACATCGGGAGATCTCTCAAACTGCTTCCTTCACAACATTATCAAGCACAAAATTACATTCATAAAGCATCTTTCACATGGGGAGGAAGTCCCAAGGCGTTGAACAGTCAGGAATCAGGACCTGGGGGTAGGGTTGGGATGAGGGAGGATAGAGAGATAGGAGGGCACGGTCGAAAAAGATTGTCTTGAGCCGTGCCTTGAAGAAGGCAAGGGAGGGAGCAAGGCTAAAGGATTGTGAGATGGAGTTCCAAAGAGTGGGAGCAGAGAGGCTGAAAGCCCGGTCACTGATGGTAGGGCGGGTCGGGCAGGAGACATGGAGCAGGCCGGAGCCTGCTGAACAGAGGGAGTGGACAGGTTTATAGGGGGTCAGCAGGTCAGAGAGGTAGGAGGGGGCAAGGATATGAAGGACCTTGAAAGTGAGGACGAGGATTCGAGGGTGGGGGGTGATGGGGTCATGGAGCCTGGTGCGGGAGAGGACACGAGCTGCAGAGCTCTGGATGATCTGCAGCTTGTGGAGGGAGGAGTTGAGGAGACTGACAAGGAGGGAATTTCTGTAGTCGAGCCTCAAGGTGACAAATGGGTGTATGAAGGTTTTGGCGGCCTGAGTGGTGAAGCAGTGGCAGAGTCTGCAATGTTACAGAGATGGGGAAAGGCAGAGAGGGTCATGGCACGGATTTGGGGGAGAAAGGACAGTTGAGGGTCAACCAAGACACCCAGGTTCCTGACTGGCTTGGTGAGGTGGAGTGTGCATCCATGGATGCTGATGCTGCCAGTGCCTAAGGTGCGGAAACGCTGATGCAAACGAATCGGAAGGGCCTCAGTTTTGCTGATATTCAGCTGTAGAAAGCTAGCTCTCATCCAGGACTTGATGTCTGACAGACAGTCTGTCAGGACATCAGTTGTCCTGGAATCGAGAGTTGAGGCAGAGAGATAGAGTTGGGTGTCATCTGCGTACATGTGGACGTTGACCCAGCAGTCAATTTGTGCACAGTAATGTCCCACAAACAGCAATGAAGTGAATGGCCAACATTATTTTAGCAGGGGGACTGGTGGCTAGGACGCTGGGAGAATATCCCTTCTCTTTTTGAATAGAGTAGTGCTATGAGATCTTTAGTATCCAGACAGACAGCTTAGTTTAACGTCTCATCCAGGGGACAATACCTCCCCTAATGCAGCATTCCCCAACAATGCATTGGAGACTCAGCCTGACTGTGAGCTCAAAGTCCCAATGTTGAACTCTGACTCAGAGATGAGAGCGCTATCAACTGAGCCAGGCTGGTTTAGTTAGCCTATCTCACCCAGGAAGCCAAAGGGATTCTTTAATTGTCCTAACGCTCCTGGCATAGAAAGCAAAAATGTCAGCAAAGATGTGTGCTTCTGATCGCTATTTCATTGACACAAGTTGAAAATGCCCACCCGTTCACATCAAGGATGAACCCCTCACTGGAATCCACCCTACATTGGTCATAGCTATCTTTGACTGTGAAACTCAACAATGCAATATCCACCATGGTACCGGGCACAGAAATCGAATGGAGTGTCATATGTATGTGTTGTATCGAGATTTATTATCTGCTTACTTCACTGGCCTTCAGAACACCAAACAGCGGGAAAAGGAATGCTGGTACCATCGCTGCTGCACCAAGTGGTACTGCCTCAGACACCCAATATACAGCAGTCACTATCACAACGTAGGCACATGATGCCTCTGGCTGAAAGACAAAAAGAGAAAACACAGATAATGAGCAGTGAGTGCCTGGAAAAATGAAAAGCGGTATTCAGAACTTCCAGCAACCTGATAATGGATCTCACCGGCGCTATACCTGGCCTTGGGAATGCTTGATGAGTTTGTGCAGAGGAAGCTTTACTCTGTATCTAACCTGGGCAATATCTGACCTTACAGTGTTTGATGTAAACACTATGAAGGGGAACTTCATTCTGAATCTAACAGAGAATTTGACTCCATCTGACCATTGCTGTATTTGACCTGATCTTACCCAAGATTATTGGACGGATCACTGTAGAGTGAACTTTACTCTCCACACAAGGAGGATGCAGAGGGATATAAACAGGTAAATGAGTGGGCAAGAAGGTGGCAGATGGAATATAATGTGGGAAAGTGTGAAATTATTCACCTAGGTAGGAAAAATAGAAAAGCAGATTATTTTCTAGAGGGGGAGAGACTAGATAGTGTTCGTATTCAGAGGGATTTAGGTGTCCTTGTTCACCAATCACAGAAAGTTAGCATGTAGCAAGCAATTAGGAAGGCTAATAGCCTGTTAGCGTTTATTGCAAAGGGGTTAGAGTACAAGAGTAGGGAAATCTTACTGCAATTGTATAGGGCTTTGGTGAGACCACACCTGGTGCAGTTTTAGTCTCCTTATCTAAGAAAGGATATACTCGCCTTAGAAGGGGTGCAATGTAGGTTCACTAGGTTGGTTCCTGGGATGAGGGGGTTGACCTATGAGGAGAGGTTGAGTAGATAGACCTATATTCTCTAGAATATAGAAGAATTAGAGGTGATCTTATACAAACCTATAATATTCTTAAGGGTCTTGACAAGGTAGATAGTGTGAGACTGTTTCCCCTGGTTGGAGAATCTAAAACTAGGGGTCATAGTCTCAGGATTAAAGGTGAGCCCTTTAGAACTGAGTTTAGAAAACATTTCTTCACTCAGAGGGTAGTAAATTTATGGAATTCTCTACCCCAAAAGGCTGTAGATACTCAGTCATTTAACATATTCAAGACTGAGATTGATAAGATTTTTAAAAAGTAAAGGGATTAAGGGATATGGGATAGGGCAGGTAAATTGAATTAGATTAGTAGATCAGCCATGATCTTATTAAATGGCGGGGCAGGCTCGAGGGGCTGAATTGCCTACTGCTCCTATTTCTTATGTTCATATGTATTTGCCCTGAGAATGTTGGACGAGTTAGTGGAGGAAACTTAACTCTGAATCTAATACTGGAAGCTTTAACTGTGTTGTATCTAACCAAAACTGCTTTTTGGTATTGGTTAGAAAATATGAAAAATCATATTATATAGGAGTTCACCAGAAAGAAAATAAACTGATGACTATGAGATATAATTTTACTTTAAATTAGATTTGACCAGTGCTTCATCCTCACAGGTAAGATGCTCTTTACCGTTGAAGACCAAAAGTTAGTTCTTCAAGGGCATTTTGATGCATTGTGTCTAGTTTGTCTTTAGCTAAAGACTTAGCTGAGTGAGACACAAATGGAAAGGACTGCATGAGCATCAGAGAGCATCTGCAAACTCGCAGTTCAGGGAAGTCAAGGGTCTCTAAAGGCCACCGTATTTGAAATGTAATCTCTTCACTGCCAACTCCAGCTTTATACCGTTAACAAGAGTTTTGTGCTTCAAAAGGAATAGCTAAACACTGCTGTTAGCAGACACCGGATATGCTACAGCCCAGAGAACAGAGCTAATCTCCTTGTCAAAAATATCCAGAAGTTTTTGCTAATTGCAGCTGTGAGGAAATCTTGGATCAAACACAACACTAATCGGATTTTAGAAATGGAAAGCATCTCTGAGTTGCATGATGGGAATTTTACACCAGGAACGGAGCACAGATGTCCAGAAGTCATGTCCTAACTAAGACACTGGGGAGTGAAAGAGTAGCTAAATGCATTGCATGCTTTCTCATCTCTCCCCCTCTCTGCAATCTGATTTATTCAGCTCTTGAGAGGAAGACTGCCAGGGTGTTCGGAATGTCCCTGTGTGAGCCACAAGGTGGCATTCGTTAGGTAAATGCCCAACCACCTGCCTCTATGACACACGGACCATGGCATTGTGTGTACAGCATTGAGTGTGCTACACTGGTAGATTGTGTATGATGTCTGGCATTTATGGACATACTGCCTATCAGACAGGATCACACACAGCAACCACTGCCTTGGGGCCAGGACCTCGCACATATAGGCAAACACTAATCTGGTGACTGGGTCTCTCACAAATGAACAAACACTGACCTTAGGCACATTACCTCATAAAACATATATTATATGAGAAAATGTGAACAATCATATTATGAATACAGCTGAACACAGATCATGGTCTCTCGCATACAGTCACAAACCTGATTGAGCATTCAGCACAATGGTTCAACCCAAAAACATGAGGCCACATAAACCTATAATAGATCAGGACTTCAACTTTTCCTGACAGAACATCCACGCACTAGTGTTGAATAACAGAATGCTATGTATAGTAATCTAGTACGCTTTTCCGGGGGTAATAATCCCTTCAAAAATGAAAAATGAAAATAATAATAATTTGGTCACTTAATCCACGACTGTTTGTGGGACGCTGCTGTGCCCAATTGGCTGCCTTGTTTGCCCACAAAAATATACAGTTAATTCACTTTACAGTATATTCGGTGAAGTGCTTTGAGACGTCTCGAAGACGTGATAAGGCGCTATATGAAATGTAAGGATTATTATTATTGCTTTAATGTCACTATCTGGGATGGGAAGAGAAAGGAAAAATCAACTATAATGAGTACAATGGATCCTCATTCCCATCTCCCCTCCCCCCAAGCAGGAATTCACTCTGCACACAATGCTGATTGCATGATAGATTCAAGTGGAGCCCCCACTTGTGTAGGAAGAATTTGTAACACAAGAAAATGTAACACGGTTCCTGGGCCTTCCAACTGGGATCAGCTGTAATTGGGGTCAAACCAGAATTAAGGAGTTTCCCGTAATGTGATTAGTGAATAGCTCTGTGAACTGAATGGAACTAAAAATAAAGCTTCACAGGTTCATAACTGTTAACCCTCAAGAGATAATAATTGTGAGATTCCACCAGCTACTGAGACCACATGTAAGGGCATCGATTCCATGAAATCGTACAGTCTAATTACCATTCAGAGTTCATGTCCCTACAACAATGACCTGCTCAGCAATCCCACTGCCTCCTGCTTCACTGTACCATGAACCCATCTTGTTTTACGTCATTGTCCGATTAATCTTTAACGCATGGTATAAATAGAATATATTATGAAGACACTGCTGTTCATGATTTATCACATCAGCCAACACCTGGGGTGTACATCACATTCATCCTTGAATCCATCGAATCTTATCAATGCTCCTATTCTTCCTCCTGTTCCTACATTTCTTAGTGGTCAACTCCTGGCCCAGGCAGTGGGTAGGTCAGTGTGATCCCAAAACCACTGCCTCTGATGCTCTTACTCCAATCATTTTATGATAAAGAAACTCCCAGGTTGACTTTCCCTTCCTCCCTATTGAGCCACTCGTTCAACATCCCTGGTTATCTGGTGGGCTACCCAAGTCCATGCTCCATTCATGTGAATGAAAACGTTGGTCATTCATTTCAAGGCAGTTCGTGGGACGTTGCTGCACACAATGGGCTGCCACTTTTCACCTACATTGAAGTACTGTTGCTCTGTACAGAACTTTGGAGTCCTGTAGCTCAGTGGTTAGAGCACTCGCCTTGCAAGCAAGAGACCTCAGTTCGATTCCTGGCAGGGTAAAATGTTGGGCATGTTTCCATGCTCCACATGCCCCTGTTTACCTAGCAGTAAGTAGGAACCCAGTTGTTAGTTGATTGGCAGATCGCTTTTCCAGGGATAATAATCCCTCCAAAAAAAATGTGGTCACTCAACCACGACTGTTTGTGGGACACTGCTGTGCAAAATTGGCTGATGCATTTCGCCCACAAATATACAGTAAATTCACTTTATAATATATTCTGTGAAGCACTTTGAGACTTCTAGAAGATGTGGAAAGCACTATATCAAATGCAAGGATTATTATTATTATTACATAGTCACTCCACTTCACAGTAAATTCCATGAAGCGCTCTGGGACATCATCCCAACGTGAAAGATGCTATACCAAATGTAATTGTTATTATTATCTGTGATGTTTGGGCAGTATGTAAAAGACCAGTCTTCCCAAATCTTTGGTGGGAATCCATTCTCCTTGTAATCCAATAGGATGCATGAGTCTATTTTCCCTATATCTCCATATGGACATAAGGCAAGTGAAATAAACTCCTTCTGCTGTGATATACTCTGGGGATAGTCATCCCTTGTTTGCAGATGGACTTCCCAAAGCCTCCTCTGCAAGCTAGGAAATTACTGAGCTCAATTATTGCAATGGATTCAGCGTCAGGGAGGTCACTTGAATTCTGCTAGACCAAGCCTAAAGCGAAGAGCTTCTGTTTCTCTATAACTTGCTTCTATCAATGCAAATGTATAACTAACCAGGACTAGAGTGCATCATTGGCAGGAGCCAAGCATACAGAAAATTGTGCCACATAAACATCATGTTTGCTACAATGTGCTACAGCAGATATTATGTTTGACAGGGGCAGCATGTTCGTGGGAGGGGGTGGGCGCTGTGGTGGGGGTTGGGGTTTGGTGAGAGGGTAGTCTCCAGTCAACAGAACACTCCACCATGCTGGGGAATGGATGGTTGAACCTTTAAACCGATGCAATCTCCAGCCCACTGGCTCTGGTGGGAGAATGGAGAGAAGTCACTTGTAAAGCCTGCTCAGGAATCGCAGCTGCATGGTATTTTATGCTGAGTTATATGTAATTTGATGGCAAAATTATCCCATTAGTAAAGTGAACTTTCAATAATTTACAGAAATTATTTGCTCCAGGAGACCCTTTTTTTTTGTCAAACGTGCAGCACAAGTTAAACAGAAAATCTCACTAATG